CAGGAGCTGGTTCGTCATCTGTTGGATTTGACTGGTCAACTCCCAGTTCATTCCAAAGGAAGGATGATGATTTAGAACTTGATTTCTCCATTGACAAAGATGAAGAAGAAGATATTGATGACCTGGCAGATGAAAAGAAGATTCATGCACAGTCTACAAATGAGGAAGAAGGTAGTTTGATACAAAAGAATATATTTGTATTGCAATAGTGTTCTGTATTCGTTTGAGGTAATTATTTTGTGTAGGTGTATAGATAATGCGGAGAGGAACACGATATGTAATCATTATCATGATATCCATATTAACCCTATACCCACTGAGAGTTTATTTTATTAATTGTTTTTATACATAGATGGCTACACTTGTACTAAGTCACCAATGAGCCAATTTTGAGTAATGCCTGTCTCGCCCGTTTACCCTTTTCCTAGATTTACGAAAATATTTTACCTTGATTTATTTTGCTGTTACTAATGTCTATAACATTATAGTAATTATAATGTCTATGTCTAAAAAAAACACCATCAATGTTCATAGCATTAGTAAAAAATGCATTTTTCCCAATAATTCAAGGAAAGGTGAAATTAGGTAAGGTCACAAGGTCTAATAATTGACTCCTTTGTGACTAAGCACTAGCAGAGCCATCTATGTGCAGAGACATATCACAAAAAAAATAAATGAGCACATCATTTTTCCCGGCAGCATGTGGTTAAGTGTAATTTATCTTCTTTTTTATGTCACAGAAGCACTATCAGATTCTCCTAGCAAGCATCTAGACATTATGGCACAACAGCTGAAGTTTGTGTCCTGCCTCAAAATGATGATGGAGGAACTAGCCACTCTAGCTACAGGTTGTGAGGTTGATGGTGGACAGCTACGTTTCCAACTCTATGTTTGGCTTGAACGAGAGGTGGAAGCCCTGAAGGAAGTGTGCAACTACTGCTGCACATTGAGTGATGGCGGTGAGTTGGAATTCTATGTAGGTTTGATTGTAGATTAAGAGAATGGATGAAGGTATCGAGTTTGTAAGACAGGTGTCAAATGAATTACAATTTTTTCCATGTGGTAAGGAGTAGTGAGTCTGCATTTTGAATAGAATTGCTACTTTTCTTGAAGACCATGTCACAATGTTATCTATACTTTTTTTTTTTTTTTTAAGCTGTCTGTGACAAAAGTTTAAAAGGTGTGAATGAGAACCAGTAATTCCACAGCACATTATGTATGAAATATACATTTCTACCTTTTTTACCTATATCACACTTATTAGTTCTCACAGACACCATTGTTACCAGGGAAGAATTTGCTCTGGAATTTGTAGACCATAGGAAACAGTATCCAGGTATCTTCCTCCCTTTCCTTTAGTTTTTAGTTTTCTTTCTTTCTTTTCTTTCTTTTTGTAAGGGTTAAGAAAGAGTATTGCAATTCAGGGGTATTTATATGAACAATTTGATTACTACAGCTGACTTCAAGTTGTGGGAGGACTCCTTTTGGGGTGAGTATTTTTCAGATATTGGAAACTCCCAGAATGGTTCTGGGTGCTGGTGTTGGATTTCATGGCACTTGGACGCAACATACACTAACCTGCACTTTATGTTCACTGTTTACGGATTGTTTTTAAATTTGTATGTGGGATATTTGGGCACTTTAGAATGTTTAGGCAACATTTTGTAGGAAATCAACTGTAAATAAAGTTTTGTAAAATCAAGGAATGAGAGCATTACAGGCATATTTCTAGTTGTCAAGATGTCAGTAATGTTCCCTTTTCAATTAATATATAGGACACCAAATGAGAAAATTGTTAATGTTATGATTTCAGATGTTTATAGCCCATATTGTTTGTAAAAGGAAAATATAGTATTATGGATGGCTATCATATTATCTTTATTTCTTTATACATGGGTTTAATGATAAGGCATTTAACCCTAGAAGGTAAAAGAAATGTGTCTTATATACCCCTAAGAAAGAAAAAATGGCACTTCCTCACACCACAGAAGAGTGACAGGCGGTAGGTGGAGTTTCATGTGAGGAAGCTTTCATTCCGCTTGTTCACTCCAGGTGCCTCTCTGTCTCCCAAGGATTATGTCACAGCAGCAAACTTGGGGTCTAGTTGGCACCCCTCTTACTTTCTTGTACAGGTAGATTTTTTTGTTTTTTTTTCTCGTCTTTTTCTTTATCACCTCAGTTATCTAGCCATTGAAGATTACTCAGTGAGTGTGTTTTATTTTCATACTAGAAAAGTTTCCAAATTTTTGAGCGGTGAAAAGGCTGAATTGCTTGATAAAATTATGATAATTTAGCCATTATTACATTATTACTATTGTAGTAAAAATGGTTTGCTTCTTTTTTTCTTTTTTTTTTTTTTTTTTTTTTTATTCTTTCTTTCTTTTCTTTCTTTCTTTCTTTTTCTTTTTCTTTTTCTTTTCAACATGGCACAGCAGAATATGGAGAAAGACAATGATGCTTGGATGCTTTATTGGACTACATTAACTTTAATGATAAATGTTTTTGAGCTGGTTAACATGACAGATAACACTGTGATCATCAGGATGGAATCAGACATGAAAGAAGGAGAGGCCCATATTTGTTATAATTTCTCTAAGAGGGTGTTTGATACACCTCCTTTACCTTTGTGTGATTTTCTGGAAACCTTTTACCTTCTAGGGTTAATGAAAGTTTTCTCAATGCAAAAATAATTGTTTAGCTTATGATTGACTTTATTTTGCTTTGCCTTGGTGCAGGAGGTGAATGTTCGTGTAATTGGTGATGGTGTTTTAATATGACATAGCCCTTACCATGGTTGTAAATATGTGTATATATAGAATTCTTAGTCATTCACTGTTCATAATTGAAATCTAAAAGCTACATTTGTGTGATATGTAATTATTTTCTGTTAGTATAGTGTATTATCAAGATTTGTAATTATATATTAATGAAACAACTGAATTTAGGTTTTATTTTTTATGTTCATTTTGTTTGTCTGTTTCATTGTTATTGTCATGTCATGATCATTCATCATCAGTCCTCTAACATTTATCTTTATCATTGTCATCATCACAGTTACTATTGCCATCTTTATTATTAATGATATTAGTTATTGATATTATAATAAGTATTATTATTATTATCATTAATGTTTCATCATTATTGAATATTATGATAATAGGGTAGCAGTTGTATTTTTGATAATTACTGTTAGAGCAGTTTGGGTTAAAAAGGAATTTTATTTTAGGCACAGAATTTAGCTTAACCTTTATCTATATTGTAGTAACTGGTGTATATCATGTATCCACTTCTCCTATGCAAATGAGTTACTTTAGTAAGGCAAAAGTATACTACTTTAGCTTTTTTAACATAAAGTAGAGGTAAACAGATTAGAGTGAAATAACTAGGGGCATATATTTAAATTTAACTTGTCTTTCTCTTAGTCAGTAATGATTAACTTTGATAATCATTATTTTTGCAGCAGAAGGGAAAATCGGAGGTTAGTTTTTTTTGTTTTTTTTATTCAATCGAGTTTGTTTTAAAGTTTCAACATTCATTTCAACAGAGAAAGTCCTCGTAGAATCCATTCCTGCGGATGAAGGTGGTGACATACTAGCTCCATCTCCTGTTCCTCTGGCTGAGCCATCGACTCTGCACGAGATCCTACAGCAGGAAAAGATAGAGTTTGAAGAGAAAATGGAAAGGGCGGCGAGAAGAAAAAGGTGGCTGATGGGTAAGGGAAATTAGTATTTTAGTTCTGCTCTTTTTCTTTATTTATTTCTTTTCTTTTTCTTTTCTTTTCTTGTCTTTTCTTTTCTTTTCTTTTAATTTCTTTTCTTTTCTTTTCTTTTCTTTTCTTTTCTTTTCTTTTATTTTATTTTATTTTCTTTTCTTTTCTTTTCTTTTCTTTTCTTTTCTTTTCTTTTCTTTTCTTTTCTTTTCTTTTCTTTTCTTTTCTTTTCTTTTCTTTTCTTTTCTTTTCTTTTCTTTTCTTTTCTTTTCTTTTCTTTTCTTTTCTTTTCTTTTCTTTTCTTTTCTTTTCTTTTCTTTTCTTTTCTTTTCTTTTCTTTTCTTTTCTTTTCTTTTCTTTTCTTTTCTTTTCTTTTCTTTTCTTTTCTTTTCTTTTCTTTTCTTTTCTTTTCTTTTCTTTTCTTTTCTTTTCTTTTCTTTTCTTTTCTTTTCTTTTTCTTTTCTCTTTCTTTTCTTTTCTTTTCTTTTCTTTTCTTTTCATTTCATTTCTTTTATTTTATTTTATTTTATTTTATTTTATTTTATTTTATTTTATTTTATTTTATTTTATTTTATTTTATTTTATTTTATTTTATTTTATTTTATTTTATTTTATTTTATTTTATTTTATTTTATTTTATTTTATTTTATTTTATTTTATTTTATTTTATTTTATTTTATTTTATTTTATTTTATTTTATTTTATTTTATTTTATTTTATTTTATTTTATTTTATTTTATTTTATTTTATTTTATTTTATTTTATTTTATTTTATTTTATTTTATATATATATATATATATTGGCAGGGCCTGTCAAAATGGTAAAAGGGTAAATCATATAAAAAAATATGGTAAAGATATCTACCTAAAAGATACAAAAGTCTACTTGATTCTGGGAATTCAAAAGATATTTTCGAAGTCTTTTTCCGTGACATGTTATTATATATCAGAAGTGAAGTGAAGAAAAATATAGTTATGTTAAAATATACTTTTGTAGATATAGATACAGATAGGGCCAGATTTTTTGGAATATTCCATGGGGCTGAGCTGCTGTGGAGATGGATGGATACTAATGTAAGTGTCTAACAATTTTTTTCTGTCTCTTCACTAGCAAACCAGCAATTGCTCCGTACACTTCTCAGCTACTGTTCCCTTCACGGATCCAGTGGAGGGGGACTTGCTTCTGTTAGGATGGAACTCATTTTGCTTTTGCAAGAACTACAACAGGAAAGCAGCAAGCAGCAGCTTCTCTCACCGTTGCCATTCCCAACAACTCTGCCACTTCTCTCTGCTTCAATTGCATCGAACAAGACTGTTGTGTCAGATCCTGTTCGTCACTTACAGGTAAGCTGTTGTGTTTGTTCCTTCTATACTTTACTTTAGCTTACCTTTCCATTTATGGGAGTACTTTCTTTATGATTATAGAATCAAGTTTTTATATCTGTTATTTCAAAGGTTCTCAGGTGTGAAAAAATGCAGTTTACATTATTTTACCAATATCATCTTTCTTATCCACTTATCCCCTATCTGATGATAGGCAGGCACCCATGATCTGCTACAGTCCCTTGTTGAGGTGTCTGGTGTTGGTCGTCCAGATGCACAACTCATGTGTCAGGCAACTGTTTTGAGGAATCTTGCAGCTGCCCTTTCTGCTTGCATATATCAGTCTCTGTGTGACTCTGAAACATTTACTGTCAAGGCCCAGCACAGGTGAGAATCAGTGTATAGCACATACTTTTAGTGGTTATGGATGGAGTTTGCTGAATACTGGAAACTTGCCTGTGTATACTATTAAAGAATGTACTTTTGAATTCTCATGCTTGATAAACTTTACTTTATATAACATGGTAGAGTGGCAGCCCTTGGTGTAGATATTCAGCATACAACAGTAGCTCACCGTGAATCTCATCTTGTGGGACGTGATCTAAGAACAGGGACACCCCATGAGGAGGAACCACTCCAGGTGTGCACTCCTCCTGCCAAGTGGCCAGGTCAGTAATATACCATTTGCAGTTCAGAGAAAAAATGATGAGATGCAAAGTGTTATTTGTTATATCATCTTCAATACTTTTTATTCAGGATGTTAAGGCAATTGACTAAAAAGTATGTTATAAGTCATTATTATTATCTTTATTGTTGAGAAAAAAATAATTCATGGTTCTACATTTTGAATTAGAAATGAATTGTCTATTCATACTGATCACCCACAGGTGTCACTTCCCTTCTGGCATTGATTGCTCGTGAACGTGATGAAGATACTCCGAAGTTGAATGTTCTCCTCTGTGAAGCTTTTGTTGCAGTGTACTTAAGTCTCCTGATATATGGCATTTCAGCCAGTGATGCTTATGTGTTATACCGCCTTGTTGCACAGCCTCTAACAGAAAAGGACTGGGCTACTATGTTTGGAGGTGGAGTTAAGAAGTTATTGAAAGTCATCACAAATGTATTGCCTGTAAGTTTTCATAAAGGTTAATCCTACAGATTGTCAGATTTGATCAAGGGAAAAGATATTTTTTATGTTTACAGTGATATAAAAGTTATTAAATTTATTGGTTTGTTTTCCTTAACAAACTAGGAAACCAATTCCCCTACCCAGCTGTTTGAAAAATGTTCTTTAGGCTGTTGCTAAGGAACACCTTGAAATGAATATTGAAAATATTTTAGAGTTAAAAGATTAAAAATTCTGATAAAATCATTTGTCTCTCCTACCAGTTCACAGTGAAGATGCAAGTTAAAGTCTTTGTCCTATTCTCTCAAGATGTAATAATTATATAATACCTCCTCCACGGCATTTCAGATATGAGAAGGATGAGTTTGAACCATTTATTCTGTCACCCTTTTAAACATAGACATAATCTCTTCCAATGCATTTCAGAGCCAAGCATCTCTTGAAAGAGAAGGTGCTGGAGCTGCCGTCAGTGGGGAGAGGATTCTGTCAACGATTTCTAGCTTACAGAAAACGAGGATCAAATTCAACATGAAATTGCTGGGTCAGCTTGGGTTCCAGGACCCTCGTGGGGCTGCCAGTGATGGTGATAGCAAGCCTGCATATCGGGAACAGTTTCTTCCACCAGAATTGTCAATTGTGTCCAACCTTATGAAGAAAGTAAGTTTATTGTGTGGATGATTGTCATTTTATTTTAGTTTTCCTTGTTCAGTTTCTGTTTTCAAAGTATTCCTCCTCTTTTCTAAAAAAAAATCTGCTTCTGTTTTTTCATAGTCATCTTAATTTATGCTGGATTTTGTGCTGTGACATTCCAAGTTATTATTCAGAGCTCACCAACACACCAAAGATACCATTTTTCAGGTCAAAATTCATGGATTTTGTTGTATATAATAAGGTTGATGTCTTTCATGACTTGTATATCATTTCAGCCTCCTCTTCCTGGTGAATGCGAGAATATTGATTATGATTCATCTGCAAGTGATGATGAGGATCTAGAAATTGATTATGAAGAGGATGAAGACGTGTTCAAGGAACCAAAGGTTAGTTTAAAGATTCTCACTTATATTTTTATATGGTTTCAGTTGGTATATACCAATTTTTAACAATATCTACTATTGTTTTACATCTATTTTCTTGAGTTAATTAAGTCAGATTATTAGTTTTGAGTATTGTCAATGACTTTCAGGAAAAAGGTAATCTAACAGGAAAAATCCAAAACCTTAACAAAATTCTTTGATACCCAGGTAATAGCAGATAACACTGAGCACAGTGACCCAGACTCATATTCATGGTGCCTGCTGCGACTTGCAACAATGTGTGCTGCCAAATCAGTTGTGGGAAGATTCTTGGAAGTTGCAGGGGTGGAGTTACAGGGTAAGGGGAAAGGTAAAAAAAAATGCTATTGCCTATTGCTACTTTACATGTACATGCATATTGATTTTCAGAGATATAGCAGCTACTTTTAAAGATATATATATATACAATCTTTTCACCTTTAGATATTAATGTTGCCATACATTGACTTGGCCACTTTTGGAAATATTTCTTCTATTTTTGTGGAGTCTCTCATCTTCTAATACAGTGCTTTTGTGTTTTTGGTGTACAAGTTGTCATGCTGTACTTGTTAAAACTTTCTGGGAAAGATATTCAGACTCTTTTATTAGTCTTATAAATTCTTTGTTGCCTCTCACTTCCCTACTGCTTAACACAGTCAGTTGTCAATATGATGAAAAATTAAAGAAAAAAATTGTAAGGCATTACTTGGTTGAAGGTGCATAAATAAAATTACATTGTGAATCTGTGGCTTAGAGGTGAAGCCATTTGGGAATTTATAAAACCCATTACTTATTTCTCTCTAGTGTTGATGATTGGGTATAAACACAGAAGGCACCCCAATCCATATTCAAGTTACAGTTTTAGGTGAAGAATTTTGTTTACAAAAGCTTGTTTGTGTATCTCTTGATGCACTGTAGATATTAGTTAGTTTGAACTAAAATTAATTAATTGAAACCTAGATGCTCTCTTTTAAAGATTATGTAATACTAACTGAGTTTTAGAAAAGCTAGAGGTAGTGAGGTGACCAGAAAAACATATAATAAGTGCTGTGCCTTGTATTTCGTTGCCAGATTATTGCACAAGTACAGTGAGTGCATCAAACATTTCAAAGCTGACAGAAGTTAAAGATGTATAAGGAATGGCTTTTTAGGATAAGTTGATAATTTTTTTTCTGTGGTTAGTATGATAAATTTATTAAATTGGAGATTGGTGATGAAGGTCAAGGAAAGCACTATTATTTTTATTGCTATCCTTGCTATGATTCAGTGTTAATTGCAGTAGCAGACTGTAAGTTATAATTGACAGAATGACAAGAATAACAGAATCTGTAATATAGTGAGACAATTGTTAGAAGACTGAGATCTGACCAGAATGATTCTGACATTCTTTAGGTAAAATTTAGGTCGATACTATGATATATATCTGAAAATCAATGGTAGCCTGCTAAATTAAGTTGATATTACTAGTATGTGAGCTGGATATTTTGTAAGTAGAAATTATTATTCAAGCTTCAAGTGTAGTCTTAGTTTTAAGATATAGACTTATTTTGAAAGATAGATCTTTAGTGGACATATAATACTAGTTTGTATGGAATGTATTTAATTATTGAATTACACACAGTTTTAGTTCTGAAACCAAACTGTTATGAAGCAACAAATATGATTCATTTTCACACCATAGCAATATGCATAGCATTTTTGAAGCACCTTTATTTGTATACTGCACAACTTTTCAACTTTGACTCTTCAATAACAGCAATTAAAAGAAAATCCATTTATTCATTACTTGAATTAGTCTATCTTATAGATAAGGCATTTAAATTGTGCAACAGTGTGTGCTATTAAAGGGTCAAAGTACAAATAAGTGATATCTACAGAATACAAAATATAAGCTTTGTATATATGATGAAGTTTTTTTTCATAAGTTTATGATAAAATTTGATATCTCATATGGTCTTGGATAAGAGTTTTGTGATCAATAAAGAAATGTGATGCATGAGAAGAGTTTTTAGGCCTTGTATGTTTCATGTAGCTAAGTGCATTTTGCCTTTATAAGAGTAATGTAGAAAAGTTTGATGGTTGCAATGCAAAATATCCTTGAGAGAGGTATTATCCATACTTCATCAGCTTCCATAACTTGAACAGAACTCCCAATGCAAAGCCCTCTGCTGCATTCCATCCTGCGCACTCTGGACCAGTGGCTGGCCTCCCTGGTCAACCACATTGAGAACAAGAAGGGGCCACCACCTGAGTATATACCTGGCTGCTTTGCTGAGTCCCAGGTTACTGGACCGGCCATCTTGAAGTACCGGGGGCTTCTGGAGACTCACAACACTCCCTTTGCGTATGTAGCTCTTCCTATGGTATTTTGCTGCACTTCTTTGTACAGATGGAGGGAATGATTCAATATTGATTGCAGAATATCATTTCTCTTAAACATATTTAGATTTAGCACTTCAAAGAAGTTTGCAATAGTTGTGTTCTCTTTTATATATGTAGGTATATTGTAACACTGCATAAGCATAAGTATGGGAGTATGTTTGCATGTATATAGAGACAGAGGGATAAATAGATAGATTGATAGATATTTATGTGCAGCTGTATATTGACTAACAGATGGCTAGATTAAGATGTATGTATGCATGATTTTATTCATTACAAAGGAACAGAAAAATGTACTGTACATTTATTGTAAGTACTTTAGTTTAGTATGTCATTAGAAATCTGTTTTAATAAATATCATATTTGGTCATATAGAATGGAATTAGTATGGCAGGTTATTCATGGAACTCTGTGTATAAATCAGTTATTTTTTATTGATGTATAGTGATTAATAGCCGTAAGTAGAAGATCAGAATATGTTTATTTGTATGATGCTCTCTTAACAAATGCTTTCTCATTTGCAATATGCTGCAGTTCCTGAGAAGTAAACAACAACTTTGAGATGTATTTGTCTAAAAAAAGGCCTGTACGTGTTATTCAGAACATGAAATTGAACTGTTTGTTAAACTGTTGAATACTGTTTATGTAATATTTATTTTTCTTGCAGGCATAACAAGCGAGGTGTAAAGCCAGTAGAACGCCTGTGGAACTACTTGGTACGACAAGAACATGTCCAGGAGGTCTTTGTCAGATATATCTTTGGACGGAAGAGACCAGCACCGGAGCCTACACAGTATTCTGATCATGGTTAGTACTTCTAGTGTTAAAGCTATCTCATTGTTTATTTGAAGTGTTTTGCAGTAATAGTTTGAGGAATACTTTGTTAAAGTCTTGTGTCACTCACACAGCAATTAAGGTACTTGATATTTTAGGGTAGACCTCAAAGCAGATACCTATCCCATTCCAGCATACTTATTATTATTACAACAGTTTATTGCAGTTTTGAACATTATTGGTGGCATCACCTGCTCAGGATTCTCACTACCTCTCTGCTACCATCATCACTAGTTATCATTTACAGTATGAAATATGAATAATTACAAAAGCATTGATTTTCCAATAGCCTTCACAATATAAGGCCATATCTTTGGTTCTTCAGTTGAAACCTTTCCTTCTGCAAGTACTGAATATCTATTTATGGTCTTAATTCTTTCAGGTGATGATGATATGAGTGATGTTGTAGATGGTATAGATGGTTCAGGAACTGGTGAAGGAGGATCAGAAATGGGCATTGAGAGCCACCATGAACCTTCAGAGCATGGTGGTCCACCGTCAGAGACAACAGTGCAGTCTCTGGAGCCTGTGCGAATTATCCACAAAGAACAGGATTCCATCACATCTTTCTGTATAAATGGGGTAAGAATAATTTTTATTTATCAGACTAACAAGATCTAATCCTAATTGGTAATAGACATTGCCCTTTTACTCCTGACTTTTTCCTGCTTCTTTCCTCTATCCAATGCCTAGTACCCACACTCATTTTAGAAATCCTTTTAGTCCCATGTTAGCAAGTTTTATTTTATTCTAATTTACCTTTTTTACCTCTTTTTTTCTATTTTGTTGTAAATCTGTACTACCATTTTTTTTTTTAAATAAGCTTCTCCAGCCCCAGTCAGTGCCAAAGCAACTACACACACAGCGCTTGACGCGTAAACATGTCAAAGGGAAGGTAAGAAGTATTGAATTTTAGGAAAGCTTTATGATGATATCATTTTTTGCACTTGTTTACACATAAATATATAAAAAAAAATTAGTGTATACACTACATATGCACACTTTACATACACATCTGTTACTATTGACTGCACTAAAACAGACACATCCCAGACATACAATGTTTTGTCTGCTTGGCAAGAAGATATGGGAGCTAAGGTTGAGTCTGTCCATATTTCCATGTAAGGTTATCAGGTGAGGAAAAAAGGATCAGCCATGCTGAGAGTATCATGTCATGCTTTAGATCTTTCAGCTTATTATAGCCATGTAACAAGAATATGTGCCTTGTGAGTTTGCTTCTGGTGTGCTTTTACTGGACATTTTCCCCTTCTTCTTCCTAAAGGCTGAACAGCTCCTTCAGTGCTTTTAGTCTGAAATCTACAGGCACTTTTATCAGTAGGGTGAAAGGGCTATGATTCATAATGGGCTTTGTAATGTGCTGGGAACACTGCTGCATGGCCAACACTTAAGCCAAGCCTCATGGCTGGGGGGATGCCATTGATCAGCGGCAACTTAATTTTGTTTATTTTTGGCCATCACTGTTATTTTTTTGCATTATATATATATCGATGCTTATATGGTATCCTAAGTTAACATGAAAAGGGTTCCTAGAAAATTTGGTGTTACTAAGACATGGTTGGTTTGTTATTAATTTGATTACCTAATGATAATTTTTTTTGTGTAAGCTTTACAATTGGACTGTACAGGCTTCATATTTATCATTATAATTGCCAGTAGCACTTAATTAATGTTAGGCTCAAGGATTTTTTTTTTTTTTTTTTTTTTTTTTTTTTTCTCTCTCTCTCTCTCTCTCTCTGAGAGAGAGAGAGAGAGAGAGAGAGAATAATATTTTCTGTTATGTGGTATTATTAACCCAATGATGATGGGTGAAGAAAACAGAAAAAAAACTCTATGCTCTGGTGAATACTGGCAGCGCTGACTTTGAGCGCGGGAGTACATCAGGCCGAATCATCGGCTTGCCACGCTTTGGCACGCCGCCGCCACATACAGCCACACGCCACACTTGGAGCGGTTTATTTTGACCGTCGTGAAGGGGTTAAGGCATAGCATAAACTAATCTGTCATCACTCCAGTGTAAATATGGTGTATGGACCATACAAAATACACTCCTTTATTTTTTATTTTTATTTATTTATTTTTTTTTATGAAAAGAAAGAGAAAATCTTATGTCACAACTATGACATAATATGGGGAAATACCACAAGTTTCTTGCATGTAAATTTGTTTTATATTCAATTTATTCCTGAAATAGTAGTACAATATAGAGCCCCTCTACCCTACAATATGGCATATTTGCTTATTCCTTGAAATTTCTGATAGTAAACATGCCTTTCTATATTCTAAACTTTTGTAGCAAGCTCCAAGAATATTACACTTTAAGGATGTTTGTAATGACTTTACATGATACCAGTCTCAATTCCTCCTTATCATCTGTCTCTTTCTCTTCCATCTATTCCTTTCCTTATTCTCTTGCTATCCTCTCCCCCCTCCTATTCTTTTTCTTCTTCCTCCTCCTCCTCCTCCCATACTATACATAACCTACCCAACAAGCTTAATCTCCTCTGCAGTAAGTTACTCAAACCCTTAAGTAATATTATGTAAAGCTGCAGTTCCACTAACCTTCTCAAAGTGAGAGACTCGATTCAAATCAGGTATTGTCACCTTTTTATCCAGGCCAAGGTGTACTATCTGAGAAAATAGGGAAGTCAGTCTCAGATCTTATTATTATTGTTTTTTTTTCTTAGTTTGTTAAATATTTTTATGCAGTTAAACATTATAAAAGATATTTGAATGCTTGATGCACCAAGCCTGGAGATTGTAATAGTAATGTAAAACCGAGTGCTTGGCAGAAGGAGGTTGCTCATGCACCAGGGATAGTGGAACTTAGACTTAAGGTGATGTGTCTTGAACTAGTCTAATCTAATTTCAATTAATTGTTATAAAGTATGAATAGTAAGAGGAAATTTTCATTTTAAAATTCCAAAAATGAAAGCCACAAATATGTGCTACTTAATCCAATGCTAACAGGCATGGCTTATATGTACATGCCATGCCCACTGTAAGTTTACTTGTTTAATTGTTTTTACACATAGATGGCTACACTTTTACTAAGTGACCAATGAGCCAATTACGAGTAGTGCCTGTCTTGCCGTTTACCCTTTTCCTTGATTTACAAATATATTTTACCTTATCTTATTTATATTTATTATATTATGGTCTTTAATGTTATTAATTTTTTAAATAACAATTTGATAATCATAATGTCATCTGTATGTAACAAAATTCACAAAAAAATAAAAAAAAAGATAATAAATAAATATAGGGGACAGTACATAAACCCATAGGCATTGGGTTAAAGTAGCATAAAATAACCTTATTTTGCCCACATTACTGAAACTCCACTAATCAAACTTAGTCCTAAGCTTTAAATCCTAAATTTACATACCCTAAACAAAAATAACCAGAATATTCAGCTGGTCTAACATGAGCCTGTTAACCCATTGCCGCCGGAGATGGCATATACGTACATGCCATGCCCACTGTGAGTCGACTTGTTCAATTGTTTTTACACATAGATGGCTACACTTGTACTAAGTATCCAATGAGCCAATTACGAGTACTGCCTGTCTCACCCGTTCACCCTTTTCATCGATTTACGAAAATATTTAACGTTATCCTAATTTGCTGTTAAAAATAACACCATCTATATTTATAGCACTAGTAAAAATATGTTTTTTCCCGCCAATTCAAGGGAAGGTGAAATCAGGACTAGCAGAGCCATCTATGGACAGAGATATTTCACAAAAATATAAAAAATGAGTACTGCATTTCCCCCATTTTTTGTTCATTTTCCCCGGCGGCAATGGGTTAAAGCATAAACAAAGTCTTGTCCTAATTTGATGTGTTTGCTGCCTGTCCCAATCATGCACTGATTAATCTGCCTTCCTATTAACCTAACCCATGCTGACATTAAAAAAGAGAGCAAACTAAATTCAAATATTTAATTACATGTTGCTAATGATTATGTGTTTGTTTTTATTTTTTAGGTGAATCCGGGACTAATGGCTATAGCAACAGTAAGAGAAGTGCAGGAGCTGGATGTATCACTCTTATTAGACCATCCTGGCTGGCTCACCAATGAATGTGAACTGGATGTTTTAGCTCTCAACAAGTTAGTATATCTGTATATGATCTCCTTTAGGATATGATAATGAAAATTTTGCCTTCACAGATTTTTTATGCCTAGCGGAAGTTTATTGTAACTGAGTAAGTATTCCTTCTTGTTTGATGGTGCTGTAAAGAAAGAAAGAATTTTTGGGACCCATGCTATGTTTGACCACACATGTAATTTACCAGTATGTCACAATACTGACTTGGAATATATAATTTTTTGCTTTAATAAATCCTTTTTAATAATCCCATGTTTGTCACCAACTTGGTAACACTAGACCTTCTTATAACCTTTGTTATTAAAGTTAATAATATGCCTTCTTGTTAGATGCTGCTTTTTTAATCCATCAGTGACAGTATTAGAAATCTCTCGGCTTCATAGACCGTCTCACCATTTGGAGCGGGAGTCCACTACATGTAGCGGAACTTCCCGGCTCGACACGTTCTAGTGTGTTGCCGTGCGTATAGCTGTACCCAGCAGATCAAACACTGATAAGACAGCTATACATGTGACCCGGCAGTAATGGGTTAATTAATATCATCTATGAGAGTGCATTAGGAATCTACATACTTGCTAGTAGGGCACACATGTACATAGAAGAATCTAAATAGAATAACTTAAATATTAATACCATAATACAAAATTAAATAGGAACTTTACATTACAGTCTCTATTTTGTTAATATTTTTCCCCCTGACCACCATTCTCACTCATTGACAGTGAATGAAAAGGGCCATGGATGTTAGGCAAAATTGATTATCTTGAATATGATAATGGTTAGGCTATAGCATATTTTTGATGTATGTATTTAATCCGTTGGTCTGATAATTGACATATTGAATTCTTGTATTACAGTAGTGAACTATATGTTACCTACTATGACTTAAACCCAAAAGTCCTATTCGCCATGATCGAGGCAGGATGCACAATGTGTATTTTACTGTTTATTATGATTATGGAAGACCTGTCAGAAATTGGCAGGCTTTTTTCCTGAATCTTTTTCCTCTGAATTGTATGTATGTAGTTCTACAAATGTATCTGGTCAATCATACAATTATATTTCAATACCATATCATTTTGTGAACGAATCATAGTGAGTGTGTAGTTATCCTGGTACTGTATGGCATATTTCATATATATTTATATATATTTATATATTTTATATATATATGTATATATATTTGTGTGTGTGTGTGTGTGTTTGTATGTTTGTGTTTGTATGTATGTATATATGTGAATATGTGAATATGTGAATATATGTATATGTGAATATATGTATATGTGAATATATGTATATGTGTATATGTATATATGTATATGTATATATGTATATATGTATATATATGTATATATATGTATATATATATGTATATATATATGTATATATATATGTATATATATATGTATATATATATGTATATATATATGTATATATATATGTATATATATGCATATATATGTATATATATGTATATATATGTATATATATGTATATATATGTATATATATGTATATATATGTATATATATATATATATATATATATATATATATATATATATATATATATATATATATATATATATATATATATATATAATAGTGTTTGTGTGTATCCATCTATTTTTTCTTCTTTCTTTCTTTTTTTCCATGACAAATGAATGATTGCAATTTCAGGGAGCCAGATACTGTACCATCTTCAAACTTCCTGGTTGTGCAGACCCCTATGGACAAGAATATTCTTGAATCTGGTCGAGGAGGTTAGTATTAGTATAACTGATTATCAGATAGGCTGATGAATGCTCTCCTTATTGCATACCCATATTTAAATCAAGTAAGGGTGCATTTATACAAACTTCAGATGTTAAAGACATGAATAACTTGCATATTACTGTAAGGAAAGAGAACTTACTGTAAATATGGGCTATTACTTGAAAGAGATTTTATGCAAGTCCATTTCTCTTGGTTCAGGACTGGATGGAAACTTGTCCTCATCATCTAGTATAAACTTCGGTGGTATGGGTTCATCTCCAATGGGACAAACAGGCCGGGGTACCAGTGTGGTAAGTTACTTTGTGATACTTGTATAAAGTAGCTTCAGTAGTGCTTTGCAGAGTTCTTTAGAGTTTATTGGTTTATAAAGATTGATCTTTCATACATGTCAGTCAGTTTGTACTGATATAAAAATTGGTAAAAACATCAAGCAGGCACAGTCTAAAGTTTGGCACAAAAGAAAGATCTGCATCAAGATATCTGTGGCTGAAACAAAGCACTACAAGAAGTGAAACTATCTGTTGATATTGAAGGATGAGATGAGATTCTTTTTCTTCACTGTTGGATGTAAATTATTTTTCTTTTTCCATGAGGGATCATTCACTATGTAAACTGGATATTTGAAAATGTTTCAAAAGTTCTCCATACATGAGCTTTTACGGAGAAAATCAATCCAAATTTGTGGCCAAACTATAGAATCAGGCATTTTTCTTGTTTATCAGACAGTCATATATTATTATATATTCTACATTTTTCTTCATTACTTTCATATGCTATAAATGCTATATGTATAATGGATGCTGGAAGTTTGAATTGGCCACAAGTCCAAGTCTAAAGCTTGAACTGGCATATGTATCTAATTTTTTTTTTTCTTATTTCTTGTTTTTTCTAAATCTTTATGATGGATAAATCTCTTAATCATATTGAGATCCACTCCCCACCCCACACACAAAAACCTTACAAGAGGTCATGTCTTACATTTTATACAGAGGAGAAAATTTTGGTGTACTTGAGTCACATCTAAATGTATGTTGCAATTTCTAGTTCATCAAACAGTTCTTTGGTTGCCTTCCTTAAGTTACATAGTAATATAATCCTGCTATAAATCTTGTGCTCTCTAAAGATAGAAGATTTATATACTAATTGTTGAGAACAAACCAGTTTTTATAT